TATTCTAAAGATAATATAACTTGTCTTAAATTTTTTTTGTCGAATTAACTTTTATAATAAAAAACTTTGTCATTTCATTGGATTACTGTGTTAATGTTCTAGAGAAAGTATAACTTGCGTCTTGAATTGTGAAACAAGAATATCTTTGTTTTTAGTTGAATTTGCTTCTCAAGTTTTGAGAATTACTTAATGTTTTAATATTTTATTGTAATATTTGTTAAAAATATTAGTGTGCTTTAACCTTCTCACACTTAATAGTGAAGAAGTTTACTCAGTATCTACTTTGAAATATTACTTGATATTTTAATATTTTATTACAATATTTGTTAAAAATATTAGTGTGCTTTAGCTTTCTCACACTTAATAGTGAAGAAGTATACTCAGTTTCTACTTTGAAATATTACTTGATATTTTAATATTTTATTGTAATATTTGTTAAAAATATTAGTTTGCTTTAGCTTTCTCACACTTAATGGTGAAGAAATATACTCAGTAGCTATATTTTTTTACTTTGAGATATTACTTGATGTTTTAATATTTTGTTATAATATTTTTTAAATATTAATTTACTTTAAACTTCTCACACTCTGTTGATAGTGAAGGAGTCTACTCAATATCATTATTTTTTTTCTTTTTTGAACTGTAAAAGACATTAAGTCTGCATTACTGGTTTGTTAACTTGTTAAGATTATTTTTGTATAATCGAATTTAAATTGTAAACCACCATGGCACATGTACGTAAGTGCATTAACTACCTAAAAATTGATGAACTTATTAATGAACTGTCTTCCATGGGGATTTCAGCGAATCCTGAGGATACGGTTGTCGGATTGCGAAGTGAGATGCGTACTGCTTTGCGGCTTATCCGGCGTGGCTGCTTTAAGGCCATCGCCGCTGTTCCTGCCTTTGCCGCCTCTGACATTGTCTGTCAGCGGGCTTATGGTCTTTGAACTGGAACAGGTTTTTTCTTCAGGTGACTCCGTTTCGTATTATAAATTGTCTTATTAGAGTTAGGGCTAGATACCTTCTAGATAGGTTAGCCGGTGTAGTTATAACTGACTAGACCTTCTCAGGACACCCCTTTGTGACCTGAGGGGTCCATTCACTACATTTCCTACATGGGAAATGTTCTTTCAATTGTGGTCTCGGACTACGTCAAAATTTTTCTTATTTGTGTCCTATGAGGATTGCTTCCGGCCTACTGTCGTGTTTGGGTCCCATATGGATGGCTTCAGGTTATGTCATGTGGTGTCCTATATGGATAACCACAGGCTTTGTAGTCGCGAGTCATAGTATAGAATGTTTTCCTAAACCACGGGGTTCGTAAAACCACTTATATGGATTTTGGCCCTGTTGAGGATATTCCCTGCGCACACTACGCAGGGAATACTTTGAGGGAGGGGGTGGTGTAACAGTAATTTTTTTGTACATTTGTTGGTCTTGTTAAAAGCTACATCTATTAGCCGCGTTGCATTGTTTTTAATTTATCTAAGGTAGTTTATAACTACAGTTTTGATCTTCTGTGTTCGCTGATGTTAAATGTCAAAGTGAAATGATGAGGAGGGGTTAACTTCTGGAAGATTCCTGAACCTAGGATATATAAGTCCGGCTTTCTACCACGGGAGACACTGCTATCTCGTGCCTTCCGATCTTATATAGTGTTTTGATTGCTGTGTGATTTGATTTTCTTAGTATATTATCTGTTCAAAAGTACCCACACTAAAGTGGTGAGTATGTTCTTAATTCTACTTAAACCTATTTGTTTCTGGAACCTGTTTAATTATATGAGTGCTAATCCATTCGTAGGGTCCCAGATTTCGGGGTCAAGACGGTCAGTCTTAGACGGCGTGCTTGCTCTTTTGTGGCCTTCTGGTACAGACTCAAGTTTCTCGGTACCCTCTGGCAAAGCTGGTGATTGCGCGGCTCACGACGCAAGCGGACAGCCGTACCCAAGAGTTACGTACTTGAACTTATAATTGTAATTTGTTGGACTTTTGTCCGTATCTAATATAAATAGCCGACTCGGGCGGAAGAGGAAGTAACCTCCTGGAGGGACGACAAGGAGGCACCGAGCACCATCAGCTCGGCTCTGACGCGCTCCGCTGCGGTTTTTTTTTTATACCCTCTGATTTTTTTATTGTTAATTTAATTTTGTTTTGAAATATACATGTATGTATGACTGAGGTGTAAGTTGTTTTCCTCTAAAGAGTGCCGTAGGTTTCCCACACGCACACACTTCTTTTCTCTTAGAAGGCGCCCTGAGGTAATCTCATAGATCTCTCCACTGGGTCAGCCGGTGAGTAGTCCGCCTGAGAAGAAAAGCGGCTACAAGTAGACCAAAACCTCCTTTCTAAGGAGAGGCCTATGTCCAGCAATGGATTATTAAAGGCTGTTGATGTTAAAGCTCTTAAATGTAATATCCAATCTTAAATTTCGAGGACGCTTATGGGTTATTTATAGCCAAGGTTCTGTATTTATTTTATTTTATTTTTTGCACAAATAACTCAATGCCACAGGCATTTTCTTCGTCTTTTTCACTCCCGCTCTCCGAATATATCATGTATCGAGGGGGACTTCACAAACATACATGAAACGGACACAAAGAACACCCAGACTCGGAACAATAATTTGTGAATCACACAGAGTTTTGTCCCATGTGGGGATCGATCCCACAACACTTAGCGCAGTAGAAAGCGGCGAGGTGACCGTTTAAACCACTACGCCATCTGTGCAGTCTACCTTTGGGTGGTAGGGAAGAGTAGGTGCACTAGAAATTAAGTTTTATGGTGTTAACGAGATTTTTTGGTTGAGTTCCTTACCCTAAAATCAGGGAGAGGGGAGGTATTGGAGGTTACCCTCTCCTACTCAGTGAAAAGCAACAGCTTAATAATGGTTTTCTGTGAGGCATTGGGACCGCAAAATGGTACTATGAGGCAAGATATAAAATAAGATTATAGAGATACCTACTACAGATAAGTATTATCTACCTACATCTCAGATCAAATAAAAAAGTCAAGATGGAACTTTGAGAAGAACGAAGTGAGTTTTACAAACATGTGTGTGACCATCATAATTTTATTTTATTGAAAATATTGCTTTCTACTCTTACTTGTATGTGTGAAATGCAATTTCATCCTACTATTTATATCTTGTAAATTCATTTTTTGACCCCCCTTTGACAACACAATTCAGCATTTTTACTTGTAAACATTGTGATGGCACTTTGACTGCCAAGGCGTAGTTTCGTTGTACATGGGTGCGTGTAATTGTGTATGTAGGACGCCAAGGCGTAGTTTTAATTAACCTCACTTCTTTGTTCACAGAGTACCATTTTAACTTGTTCATTTGATCTGAGACCCGTATACGTACTTAAATTGTTACTTTCCTGTCATCCGCCCTACATGCTCGCATGTTGTATTTTTATAACTGACTTGAATGTTATGTGTTTACATTTACATAAAAATATGTTTAAGTTATTAAAGGAAGCCGGGTTCCTTGCGTTTGTAAGACATACGTTTGAGTTGTCACGCTATTTGTGACGTCACCATTGACGCTAGCTTTGTTCTCACTTAAAATAACCTTGTCAGTCTTTGTGGCTAATTTAAATTGAATCACAAATATGTAGATCAAACATCTATCGATGGAAATGGATATAAATGTATCTTTTACACAGACTTAGGTCAATTATTATTATGAGGTTGGAAGTTGGTGAGGAGGAGAAGACTACTAGTAAGTACCAACACATTGTGCAGGTACATAGAATAATAATTAAGAGGTGACAGACGTGCAAAAGAAGAAGAAGAAAATATGAGTTTTTTCTATGTTTGGTTGGTTGAACGCGCTAACCTCATGAACTACTAGTTTGAATTGAAATATTATTATAGTTTTGGATAGCCTATTTATTGAGGAAGGCTATAGTACATATAACATCACGCTTCGGCCAATAGGAGCTGAGCATCAATGAAAAATGCAAAAAACGGGGCATAATTATTCCTTTTCAGAGACGCAGACAGTTGCGCGGGTTAGTTAAGAAAGTTATAAAAATAATTTTGTAGCTTTCATGCCAAAACCCTTTTATCCATTTCAGGAGTTACAAAAAAAAAGCAAAATTAATCTAAACAAATAAACTCCCGCTATCACAAATATCAAAATGTCACAAACAAGGCCGCTCAGCTGTTATTTTACCTATTTCGGGAACGTCATTAACCCTCCGTTTGCTACTGTGGGTCACGGTCTTGTCTAATGAGAGAGCTTCGGAGTTCCGAAACGGTAAATACACGAAACTAGAGCCAAGAAATAACGAACTTGTTAAAATTTTGTTCGGCACGCGACACTAAATGATATGCTTTGGGTAACTGGCATTAAAAAAGTAATGGGAAGGGAAGTGCGGTTGGATTCCAGCCAATTTTTTGTTATTTTATTTTTTCTTGGCATGAATATTATAATTTTTATTAAAGGTAGTAATTGTAATCTAAATATAAAATTCGTTTTTACTTTTTCGACTTGAAATTAGAATCTGGGAGTACCAGGTGCTGTAAGCCAGTGCGGTATGGCTGACTTGGCCTTTTGAGCATCTTGTCTTGAATCATCTTGTTTTGCTTTGCTTATATTGAAGTCTCAGTGTACCAAATACCAATTTTGCCTTTTCATGGAGATCTAAATATATACGGACATCTATAGTTTTATCAAGACTTGTTAACTTTAAAGCAATATCGTACTATTTACTACGTTACATATTCGAACTTGAACGACTGAATCGTTTTTGAACAAACTGTCACCTGATGGTAAGTGACTGCCGCTGCTCATTAACGCCCCAGAATTAGAGGGAGGGGTGGGGGGGGGGTTTAGGGTATGATGGGTATGAGATGAAGATCAGTCACTCGGTTTAAAAGAACGTGAGAGCTGCTTAATTTCGGTCGGCTCGCCCTAATTGCTGCTGGAGACAGGAATAAGGCAGGCTAGGCAGGAACCTAGGAGTTAATTAAAGGTTTTACACTCACCGCAGGATATTTTTCAAGTTCATGTAGCACAGTGTGGTCACAGTACTCGAAGACCAGGTGCAGCTTGCGCTTCCTTCGAAATACTTCGATTAAATTCACCAGGTTCGGATGCTTCAGATTCTGTTCAACAATAAATTTATTGATATAGAAAATACAAGTTTTTATACTTTACTGTACTTGAGTACTAAATCCTAGGGAAACCAATATATATAGGCCTAGTTAGTTTTGGCCTATATGGTGGACTGTTAAAGGCTGTTGAATTGATGGGCTATCACCGACAGTTACAATTTATTGAAGTATTCTGACATTGATTTGGACTGAACTTATTGATTTTAGATTTAGATTGATGTATTTTGTTTTTTAACAAAGTCATTGACGTCGTAATAAGGTGCTGAGCTAAAGTTGTCCTGGGACAGAAGACGTGATCGTGAGAGAGCCACGCTTCGCCACCTAAAGGCAAGGTTCCACAGCCTCACAGAAAACCGGTGTTCACCGATTGAGTGAGGTTACCGGAGCCAAAACCCTCTCCCTCCCCTGATCCTGGGGGAGAGGGACTGAAAGGGCAGCAATGCACTAGTGACTAGTGAGTTGAAGATGTCCTTATTAGCGGTAGTAACCTACCATCACGTACCCGTCTGCTCGTTTGTCCATAAACATATATAATAAAAACAACCTTATAACTTCTATGTGAGTTCATGACGTCACAGACACAGATATAGATACGTTAGAAAACTGTGACATAAATTTAATCAGCCTATCATATAATAATATAACCAACAGATAGGCTTACACTCGGAAGTACTAAGGAATATCAGTTCTGATACCTCGAGTCTTTTATTACAAATTTTAGATCAATACTAGCTGACCCGGCAAACGTTGTATTGCAAAACAAAAAAAAATTGGGATAGGTCACCCTTACCATTTAGGGGTATGAAAAATAGATGTTGGCCGATTCTCAGACCTACCCGATGTGCACACAAAATTTCATGAGAATCGGTCAAGCCGTTTCGGAGGAGTACGGGTTGTGACACGAGAATTTTATATATAAGATTCTATTTCGAAAGCATTATTGTATTAACTTGACACAAACACTATACCAACCCGCCTGGCCAGCGTGGTATAGTAGGCCAAAACCTTCTTTCTAAGGAGAGGCCTATGTCCAGCAGTGGACTATTAAAGGCTGTTGATGTGATGTGTGATTGTATTATCATCTTTATTACTTCGCTGCCCAAATACCTACTTTTAGTATTAGTTCATTTATATTTCAGATTTATATATTACATTGGGACTGTAATCGATAAGAAATGTTGTTTGTTTGTCTAGACCAAACAAAATAGTAACGATAAGGACAACTCACATTTTGTCAGTAATTTGTTATAGTCATAATGTCCCCATTACATATCTATATAAATAAAAGTTCCCTAATGATTCAATATGATGCTAACGACAAAACTTGAAATCGTCTGAACCATTACACAAAAAATATTTTAAATGTTAATTATATCTATTTCGAATAAGGTTTTTGGACGAAATTTATGAAAGTAGAACGGAAAATAGGAAATTCAGAGAGAAAAACAAAGTCCGTCGGGACAGCTAGTATTCATTCAACTCATTCCTGAGTTGATCGTTTATCGCGTTGGTAGAGACAAAACTATAGTTTCAGAAATAAGTGTTGGCAATGGTTATCAGGCCGATGATAGTGTTCATACTAAAGTCTAGATTTATAATTCAATAACAAACCAATTTTGACAGCCGAAACTTTTGAATTATTAATGTCGTAATACGATATTACTCTTAAGTTTAATCCCTCAACTTTGATACAGATAAGATAGTAATGCAGCTTGACTGTGCAAAAGTGATATGCATTTTAGGTTAAAATAATATTTCATATTGAACTCCCTGTTTTCTGACTATTGATGGGATCAGGAGAACTCTGTGGAGGAATGGGTGTCATGACCCTCCAACACAAAGGGAGGATCCCTCGATCAGGCGAGTTGATTATCGGATATATATATGATTTCGGGAAAGGCAGTATTATTAATAACCAATATCAGTACACTCTATGTACTGATATTGGTTTTTAATAATACTGTCTTTATTTGGTATAGCAGGGCAAACAAGCGGACGGGTCACCTGATGGTAAGTGACAACCGCCGCCCATGGACACCTGCAACTCAATAGTTCAAGAGTCACCAGTGCGTTGTCGCCCTTTGAATCCTCCCCGCAGAATCAAGGGAAAGAGGAGTATGGGCTCCGGTAAATTCACTACCTCGATGAACCGTATCCGTGTGATGACCAATTAAGAATACGGAGTGTCACCACCCCTATTCATTCTGTGGGTATCATAACAGCTGACTAAAAAAAATGACACAAACCCTATTCCAACCCGTCTGGTCAGCGTGGTATAGTAGGCCAAAACCTCCTTTTTAAGAAGAAGTCCCTCCTCCCGCGACACAGGACACATTTCTGTTTCGCGGGAGTCTTTCGCGGAAGTCGGTCGCGGGTCGGTCCGGGAGCTGTCTTTTAAAAAATCCGGTCAAACAGGAGCCATTTATATCAAAGCATAGCTCTCCCAGCCACGGTTGTTTTTTTTTATAATTTAGAGTTTTCGTTCAGTAATTAGTGTCACCAAGTAATAATAATTCAGTAGTGACAGGGACTTAGTACTTAGTGATCGATGCGATAATCGTGCGGTCATTACATTTCCCATAGTCATCGCAAATGCACAAATCGATATTGTGTGTTTGATTCTACAGAACAAGCCATGACCTAAGCAAGGTCATATTCAGAGGTGACCTAGTCAATGTTTTTTAGGGTTACTACACTGAGCTCGGAACAACGTATGCTTCAGTGAACAGCGTCAACATGAACCGGTTAGCCATGCGCAGAAGTAGGCGTAGTGTAATCTTAGTTACAGATCTTTTTCCGCCGAGCGTTTTTCCCATACTACTTTGGGCCGGCTAAATCTTAGACCCTAAAAAATAATAATAATAATCTTAGACGTATCTTAGTTTAAGTATACTACGATGCGGCTGAACTGAAAATGGTTACGTGGAGCGACTGCCATAAGACTTTAACAACCCAAATACTAGGTGATATCGAAGTTCTGTAGAAAGACTTGTCGAACTTTTTAAGGTTCCAACTACCCGTAATGATTTAATTCAATTAACAGCATTGCCCCGGCTTCGCACCGGTGCAATGCTGATACTAAATATCCTACAGAATGTCTTTTTATACACCGTTCACAGCTTTTTCTTAATAGACAATATAAACATATTTTCTTGAGAGGTTACTCTTGAAAGAGCGACATATAATTGGCCATGTGAAAAACACTCAACGCTCAAATCTAAGCCTGCAACGCAAAAAGATATCTTTACGGGAAATTGTAGGTGTTAAAATTGGATCACATTCCATATCTAAGCAAAGGGTTGAAATTGTTACGTCTTGCCTTTATACGGTAGCAATAGTAGTTCATACATGACACTGTTACACGCAGAGTTGCAATACTGATTGGGTCAAATTGAGAAACATTAATGGCATAACCATCTTCTCGACGACATAGCATCAAAGGATATTGTAAGCTGTCATAAGATCTGTGTAACTCTGTTTTTTTTTTACAAATTATCATCTTGACTATGCAACACAATATCTCTTTATCAAATTGCTGCCCAGCTATCACAACTGCTACTTCACTCGTGCTTATTATATCGTTCTCTGTGTTCTCCAACAGGCATGGATTAAGACATTAAAGTCAGGAGTATCTACTGGCACACTCTCAATTGCAGTTTTAAAAGACTATGTAGCAGTTATGAGAATGTAACATATCTTGGAGAGATCTGATCAAATATCTATCAATTGGCTAGGCGACACTTGAACACCGCCTTGGTGCTTGTCTATCTGGATCTGCAATAAAATAAATTTGCAGAAATTTGTGATCATCGGGTTGAAGTAGTAGCAAGCTCCCAGCTTAGTGATACACTTGCCCTTGAATTTTAAATGTAGGCATAAAACCACTCTCAACGACTTGCTTACTCTTGAAAGAGGTCATTTGAAATGCGTTGTTATAACGGCGTATATTGCGCATGTTTATGCAAATAAAATAACATGTGTCTTGTATCTTGGATTTCGGATGATCACCCGTAAGGAGAGAGAGAATTGGTTCAGGTTGAAGAATAATTTCTTCTAATTTTACTTTTCCTTGTACGCAACACATGCCTTACGATTCGTCCTTGTATTTCAATGCCAAGCAATGTTCACACACTACTGACATGGCACTTACCTATTGATGATACTATACGATCGTCCTTGTATGGAATCGAAGGATCGTAATTCATGGTAGAATTTTCTTTATTTACCCATGAATTAGTTACTCTCTCGGATCTGTGGCTACGTGTCTGTGCGGACGATTCTCTGGCTCTTGGTAATCCGTGTCTCTAACTATCCTGGCTGAGGCCAGCCTCACGCTCTATAGACGATTCTCTGGCTCTTTGTATTCGATGTCTACCCCGATCCTGGCGGAGGCGAGCCTCAAATTCTACAGACGATTCTCTGGCTCTCTGAGCTCTATGTCTATCCCGATCCTGGCTGCGGCGAGTATCACGCTCTACTGAGGATTCTCCTTCTCTCCTTTAAGGTACTTAATTGGATAAGGATTAATGCTGTATTGCTTAAAATCGCTTCGTAAATAAGCTATTATTTCTCGTAAAAAATAAAAGATAAAAAATGCTTTATGTGGGTTATCCCTAAGAGATAGGCATATACCATCGCGGACTTCTTTGTAGACCTTTTTAAGATGTACAACACTGTAGTACATTATTTTAATCTATCTCATAAGGGTCAGTCAGCGTTTGCAATGTAACCGCAAAAAAATTGTTAATTTACGACATCACATTAGAAACCTCTTAAACCTCTTAAATTATCGGTGTTTCTCTAGTATATTATGCATGTATTATACATATAAACCTTCCCCTTGAATCACTATCTATTAATAAAAACGCATTAAAATCCGTCAGATAATTTTAAAGATCTAAGCATACATAGGGACAGACAGACAGCGGGAAGCGACTTTGTTTTCTACTATGTAGTTGTTTTTTTTTTTCCTTTTTTTTATGAGACAACTCAAGCACTAGGAATATATCCTGTGTCGCGGGAGACTTTACAAACATACATGGTAACGGACACAAAGAACACCCAGGCTCAGAAAAACAATTTGTAGATCACAAAAAGTGTTGTCCCATATGGGGATCGGACCCACAACACTCAGCGAAGTGACCGCTTAAACCACTACGCCATCCGTTCAGTCGAGATGATTACCACAGCTGTGCGTATGGCAACTGAGACCGACGACATAACGTGCTCTCCGAGGCAAGGAGAGGTCTCAATGTGTTAAGAATGGTCACCCATCCATAGACTGACTATTTATTACCCGACTACGACAGAAGAAGGGTTATGTTTTCAAGTGTTAGAATTCTAAAAACCTAATCCTTTATCTATGAATGATGTATGTATAAATTTGGCACGCTCTGTAGACTCTTATACTACACGACACTATATTTGGATTATAAAAACAAATTTCTTCATTTTACGTCTAAAGTTTTGATAGAAATTTCTCGAGTCAAACTATGTTATTTTTTAATCTGGTGAATGCCCTACCTACTTGATTATTTTAGCGTTGAGTTAACATAGAATAGAATATGCTTTATTGTACACCAATTACAGTAAGTTGGTTAAATATTACAGATGGATATGTACAATGGGCGGCCTTAGTGCTAATAGCAATCTCTTACAGGCAACCTTTGGATGGACAAATCGACAGTAGATAAGAAGAAACATAATCTAAGTCATTGTTATTTTTCTTTTAATTTTCTGTCAAGAAGAAGCTATGTAATTTGTAAATACTATATTAATATTTAATATTTCTAAATTTACTGTTTTTGCTATTTCTTGTCGAGTTATGAAGAAAATATTTTGTACTAGAGAGTAGGTATGTTGGGAAATAAAGACAGGATCGCGTGACAGCCAAGAAGTTGATAAGTTTGTGAATGAAAGTGTCAAAGTTCCTGTTTTGACATTGAGCTTCAAGCCACACTTAATTATTCATAGAGGGTAAGAGATTACTTTGAAATGTTTGCTTTAAGGGTTCTAAATATGTTTGCTTTAATGGTCCAGCGGCGGACCATTAGGGGTTGTGGAAGTCTGATTACAGTCGCTTCTTGTGAAATATCGAAGTTAGGCCGTTTTGTGATTATACTGAAAGCCGACCTACTAAACTGGTTAGTTGGAAAAAGATTCGGAGGGTAACGATGAATTATAATGACTTATGTTTCACCTTAAGCATCCGTATTTCTCGTAATGCGATTTTCCTGATGAGTGGATCATCTTCGTTCTCAACGAACTTCTTAACAGCCACGATCTCGCCAGTATCCCTGTTGCGGCACTTGTACACCAGCCCGTACGAACCTTCGCCCAGCTTCGCTAGTTTCTCGTACCGCTCCATCGCGCGACTGCTTGCGCGCGATCTGAGGACAAAATACATTACCTATACAACTTACTGTTACAAATCATAATAAAACAAAGAGTATATAGTATACACTTATTTGTAGACTGATGCACTATAAAATGAAGTTCTTTACACACCATGAGAGTGAATAGATGAACCCTGTACAACGAAACCATGTGTAACAAAACCACGTTACGTCTCGAGTTTTTGAGGCGTACAGAAACAAATATATTTATATTAATAAACCAATATACAATATATATTTATAATTTTATATATAAAAGATAGATAAATAATAAATAGGTGATGCTTTATTTGTTCACTATCGTAGGTAGGTATAATAAGAAGGACTAATATATAACATAAATAAACATACATATAACATACCATAAACAGGTAAAACAGGACTGTCCTGTTGGTCTAATGGTGGCTTCGATTCACACCCTAGACAAATATTGTGTGATAAGCTGGGTGTAATTTATCTATAATATGTATTGTGTTTAGAAATGTATAACCGAAAATGTTTATTTAAAATACATGTGCAATGTGGACGGTACTAGACTTGCCAATTATTTACGTTAGATATTAGTCCCATTAAAATCATAATCAGCAAAATGTGGGCGTTTAATACACCTCTGGCTATCCCTTCGAAGATAAAGACTTGAGTGTATTTATATATAATCGAAAGTAGCAAAGCGTCGAACAGTTAATGTACAAAAAGCGTCTTTATTGCTAAATATAACTTTACGTACCTTAATATACGCATGAAATATTTCACCGAAATTTTAGAATATTGTTATTTACATTATCAGGTTCTGCACGAATCAATAACTCCTTAAAACTAATGAGACATACAGGTACTGTGAGGCAAGGACCCATATTAAAAAAGGATTTGCAGGCAAATGGCAAATACCAACGTATAGGGATTAAGCCGCGGCCAAACAGATAAAATATATTTTTTCTCACAGATCCACAAACTAAAATACATAGCTATTCTCCTTGTCTATTCCCCAAAATCTTGTTCACTTCAACGTTATCAGAATGAATTACTAAATCGTTTGAGCAATTAAAAGAGACAGAAGACAGAACTAAAGGTGAAGTATAAAACAACGGTGTGAAAGCCATGCGTTTTCACGTATGAGCCGTCTCGACCGGAGTGGACCAGCAAAATGGTGATAAGCAGTTCTGTTGTTGTTTTTGTGATTGCCTTTAAGTGTCCCGCTCCCTCAGAATTAAGGGATGATCATCATCATCATCATCAACAGCCTTTAATAGTCCACTGCTGGACATAGGCCTCTCCGTAGAAAGGAGGTTTTGGCCTACTATACCACGCTGGCCAGACGGGTTGGTATAGGGTTTGTGTCAAGTTTTCCTTCTCTCTGCAGTGCTGTTATCCTGCGTAGTTTACTCCCTTAGTCGCCTCTTACGACACCCACGGGATGAATAGGGGTGGTGACACTCTGTATTCTTAGTCCGTCACCACAAGGGATGATGGGTAGTTATTGTTGCATATGACCATAGCCGGCGGTGGCCTTACCATCAAGAGCTTCGTCTGCTGGTTGCCCCTATTACCATAAAAAATACATTACTACAAAATCATAAGGCTAAAGTTTGTACTGTTGATTACGACCCTGGTGTGTGCAAAAGACATAAGAGCGATGTAATGGCCATGTCCAAAATTTGAAAGAGGGGGAGAACTAACAACTCGTTTCATTGTATTTATTATTAGTTTTCGAGCTTTAATTACCATTATCTGTTAGCTTTTATGTACTTATTTTTTTATCATTTTTAGTTTTACTGAATGAACATGTCCATTGTCCGTGTAGTGACGGATTAAGAATACGGAATGTCACTACCCCAATTCATCCCGTGGGTGTCGTAAGAGCCGACTAAGGGCGCAAAACAACGCAGGCACCAGCACTGCAAAAAAAGGAAAACTTGACACACAAACCCTTTTTTTTTTTTTTTTAACGTGTTTAAATCCCCTCGGACCGTCACCCCACCGGGGTTTGCGGCGGGGTGACACAAAACCCTATTCCAACCCGTCTGGCCAGCGTGGTATAGTAGGCCAAAACCTTCTTTCTAAGGAGAGGCCTATTTCCAGCAGTGGACTATTACAGGCTGTTGATGGCAGGCATGTGATGTGATGAATTAACATTTCCTCACCTTGCAGCAACAACTTCGGGCGATATTAAGCACCGATTTATTTTGCCTCTCATTTTCTTTCACTATAATTTTAAGCTTAACCGATGAAAAACATTTTTGTATGTATTTGTATAACACTACTATTTTCAGTTTTCAAACATAATTTATATAAATAAATACACAATAGTTGTGTATTTGTATGTATAATAATTTATATTAAACTTTACATAACCTACAGATATTGCTTGATAAATAATACATCAAACCATTGTGACACAACAAACATATTTCTCTGACACAATAAATATTAAGAAGAATTTACTCACCTCTGAAACATTTGTCTTTTTGTGAGGTTTTAAATAAAACACTATTGGTAAAGAAATTCAGTGCCAGTGACCATAAATACTGTCAAGTCACAACTCTCCACAAGTTTTCACAACTGTCCCTCTCGTTCAGTCACTGACCTCCATTGTATAATAGAGGTCAGTGCGTTCAGTAAACCTTTGCGCCCATAGAGCCCTTTGGAACCAGAGGGCACTGGGCTGGACTCTTTGCAAGATGCTAAGCACATCCATGCTTCCTTTATATTATTAATGTGAAAGTGAGTTTTTTTGATACGCTCTCACGCCTAAACCACTAAACGGATTGTGAAAATTCTTTTACCAATGGAAAGCTACGTCATCAGCGAGTAACATAGGGTATTTTTAAACGCGATAACCGACATACACGCGGGAGAAAGCTAGTACTAACTATAAATACACACATACACGTAAAGACTGAATACAGAACGGCTAGACAGAGGCATTTAAAACGCCCACATTTTGCTGACTTTTTTTGTCGTACTTACGTAATATGTGGTAAGTCTATGACCGTCCACTGGAGAAATTAAGAGTTCAATTTTAAAAGAAAAGCTATTTAGAAACAAAGGTAAGGAAAGATAAAAACGATTATATAAATACAAAATAAAGGCAACACAAGTCAATTTATCAGATTTGGCAGTTTTATAGATAGCAGCACTTTCTCACAGGAATTTTCTTTCTGGAGTATATCTGAGGCCCCGACAAAGGATTTGATAACGGAACTATGTGTGGGTTTTGATAAGTTCAGGCAAGTTGACGACCCGCAGGCCTTAGAGGCTTCGACACAAAAGAAAAAAAAATGAACTTACTAAATTCGAAAATCGGCTTATTTATTGCCTTTAAGGCGGAACAGAGTTCGCCGGGTCAGCTAGTTAAATATAAAAATAATTTTGAACAATTGCGTGATATAGAATTAATTTAAAAAATAACAGTAACTATAAAGTATAAGTATATATCACTACTAATATTAAAAGGATTAATACCACAGGTAAATATTTTCTGAAATCAATCGTTAAGACTACAGCTGGAGTTAACTCCATCTATCGGAGAGTGGTTTAAAACTTAAATTGAAAGAGACGAAATTTATCATTATTATAAACGTTCGAAATTCATGTGTTAAATAGACTATTTGTCTTGCGACAGTAGGAGACATCAAAAGAAAATGCTATCCCCAATATATATTATTTTAAGCAAATAAGTATAAAAAAATTTGTATACAGTAGCTGGAATATCGAATATAGAACTACCTATATTGTGTTAGATATATATTATTGATAGGTACATAATACAATTTCTAAACACAATAAACATCATGCAATCTCAATCTATATCAAAACCTTGCTAACGACTACACAAAAATCAGGCAAAATCAATTGACATCCAATTGATTTTTCTAATGATCGCGTCTCGAAATGAAAAGCATGATTATTCTTCTTTTCATGTGATTCAATGACATTTATGTCATTTATTATTTAAAAAAACCTAGACCAGTTCATAAAATCTATGATAACGTGTTGATGTTATTATTTGAATATAGAACGAGACCCGACCTTCCTTACGCGTTCTAAAATGGACCTGTTTTTATGGAATGTACCTACAACTGATTTTATACGTTCATGGTACGACATAGAGTTTAATGAGGGAGTAAGAACTTATGTGGATTTATTATCAATTTAATTTAATATTTTCATACAAGAAAGGAATTGATTTCATATTAATACTAAACTAAAACATGAACAAGGAAGATTGCTACCCTTTCCAGCAACGACCGCCACTTTCACAATAGAATCACAATAAAAAACCTTAAGTACCCACTTATTTTTCGTCTCCTAGTCGTCAAACGCGTGTTTTTTTTTTTCTTTTTTCGTGTAGGGTCATTACACTCATCACCCAAACCTACACAGATCCGAAGGGGACGTGGTATGTCAGACTCGAACCGACTAAAAACATACTGGGTTCCGTCACGAGTGAGTCTATTATAGAGGATCCAGGATATTCTAACAAGAATATCACCGAGAACACCTACCGATTTGGGCCACTTGCACCTCCTGAGCCGCGCTTCAACAGCTAACTTAACAACGGCTAACTTAGTTGTAATGTATATTATTTACACCTTTTATGAAAATCCTGATATTGTTTTTTATTTGAACTGCAAAACAGGGTCCATCGTACCTAGAAAGTTTTATAAAACCACGTCATTCTTAAAAATCATAGGAAAAATCCCCATACGCAAATCACTACGAGTACATAGAATCTAAACAAAGAACGTACAAGTATTTACTTACCTTCGTGGTAGTAGCGGCAGGTTGTTACCGAATAACCACAGCCGTTTATCACCGAACCATTTCTCCATACAGGATGTCACGTTGTTCCACAGCTTGATTCGCGAACAGTCCCACGGTATAAACAAATTAGTCATTCGCGTATCCGAACGCTAAATCCCGCGAGCATTCCCGCCTAAATATCTGTCAAAATTCGCGCGGATTCCTCTAATGTCGAAATTATTTCAATGTCGTAATTGTATTGGCAGACGAGTTGCCTTAACGGGTGCTGCAATGCTTTTAGTTGTGAGTAGTTGTGACTCTTAGTAATATCGATCGATGTTTTGTTTACAGTTTATGTCGGCCTGTGTACATGACAACCGCGGTGGGAGGGCGGAATGTAGGCTAGCGAATGGATTATTTTCAACATGTGATGTGAAAACAGCTGCACAGAAATTGCAAAAAAGAAATAGGAATTTAACCCACTCAAAACGAAAAGGCAGTTTAAACTCTACACAGAGATAACAGAGTATTGACCAGGCGGTAGGGAAGTGCTAAAAGAGCAGAATAGAAAGAAAATAATACCAAGTTTACCATTCATATAATCCAAACCGCAAACAAAAAATCTTAAAAGAAACTGTACAAACCATCATCTCAACTGAGTACAACACTGGTGAAAACAATACATAGAGTTTTTTTAAGAAGCAAAGATCACAATCCCATGCTGCAATATCTGTAAATACAAATGTCTATATTGTCCATAAATGCGGCTCTGGTAGATAAGAGATATATCTGTATACCGATACCGAGGTATATCTACGGTTTCTTTGTGGTGTTAAACGAGCAGACGGTTTTTTTTAACTCACGTGCTCTCACGATGTTTTTTTTTATGACGTTGCAAATATTTAACCTGCCTCGTTTAGTGTATGTACTTGTAATATTATTAAGGGATCTAATCAGAATACATTTTAAACAATAAAGAATAGTCTCCGTGAAAACAGATCTTAAGGGACACTGCTACCTTTCTGAAAAAAACACGATAAAGCACGGAAAGCAACCAACCAACTCCAGCAAATATGTGTGTGCATCATCATCCAGCCTTTAATATTCCACTGCTGGACATAGGCTTCTCCTGGGAAAGGAGCTTTTGGCTTACTATACTCCTCCAGCTAGACGGGATGGTATAGGGCTCGTGGCAAGTTTTCCTTCTCTTTGCAGTGCTGTTGTCTCAGTGCTTAGTCTACTCTTACGACACCCATGGGATGAATAGGGGTGTTGACACTCGGTATTCTTAATCCGTCACCACACCGACAGATATCAATAACCGTGCTGAATCAAAATTTAAAAACCCTACTAGTCACTCAGTCCGGCCTCATACGACTGACTGAAATGGACCTGCTATGAGGATAACTAGCTGGTCACCTAACTAGAAGGAGTCTGTATCTATACTTGGCTAGTTATATGTATAAAGAGAACTCTGTAATCGTAAATATAAGTTAAGACCCTCATATATATGACTAACTAATGACTAACTAATTTGAATATTCGTTTGTAATTTAAAACATTTTGACACGCGAGGTATTTTTCAGCCCATTACAATACTCCGCTATTGAATTACGATAAGTATTTGACGAAAATTATGGCTATAATTATGTTTATTACGGGTGGAAGCCATTATTGAAAAAAATATATCTATCCTGTACACTTACAAAACAATTATTTTAATATGTTTTATAGCCATGGGGTCAGAAAAAATATATTGCACCCACATACAGTACAGGGGCATATTACCAAAAGTAATTATGCTGTTTTGAAACTTAAAAAAACAATCTGCCGATCCCAAAATCTCAGAGAAGCCATGCCATGTAGGCGTAACGAGACGAGGCAGACGTTAAATTTATTATTTTCATACCTTCTTGAGTGAATTATTCACCCCAATCCTCCTTATTCTGCCTCCCTTGCCTTGCCTTGCCTTCACAAAAAAAACTATTTTATAGAATAGGGTCCAAACGATGAACGATCAATGAACACGTACAACTCATGAATGAGTCATAAGTGCATTGACGTCCCTTGAGTCCCCATTCCCAGGCAACCGGTCTCCGACTCCGATTACGTCACTTACTCGGTGAAAAACAATGAAAGAATTGCTTAACACCGGTTTTCTGTGAAGCCGTGGTATCACTCTGGTAGCCGGCCCGTATGTGCTGAAGGTTAGCTCTCACACGGAAACTTAATATATTTGTCCTTTTTTGAAACGAAAACTTCTTTAGGCGCATTGGCACTTTTTTTGAGATGGGTAAAAACAAATTGAACAAGTGACACTGTTACCATTACCGACACCTCTGTTTATAAGTATATAAGTTTTCACTTCTGTTGGCACTCCCGGAGTGCCACTGTTTTTTAGGCGCGCTGGGCATTTTTGAACAACAAACAAAAGAATGTATTTTATCATCATCATCATCATCAGCCTATCGCAGTCCACTGCTGGACATACGCCTCTCTCATTGCACGCCACTTAGATCCATGTTTGGCTTCTCGCATCCAGCTCCTGCCAGCCATCTTGTGCAAATCGTGCCACTGTTTTTTTTTCTGAAATAATTGTTAGCTAAGAGTTTTTATTTGAGAATAATAAGAGCAAGATAGAAATATCTAAGAAGGGAATCAAGAGGGGTGAGGGGTGGGGTTAGCAGGAAAAGGAAGAATGAGGTGGATAAAATGTTTGTCTTAGGACATACTTTGCACTTAACTTTATTTTTAAACAACTCCCGGATTATACTTGTGTCGCGGGAGACTTACAAATATATCCACTTACATACATACATATAACCATTTACATAGAATATTTTGTTACTGTCTTGTTAAAAAATGACACTGTTGCTGGCCTACCTCCTTTGCGCTCTAGTAGTAGTTCAAAACTAATAATAATAAAAAAAAACTCACACACCTCACAGTCACTCACGACCGTCTCATCCCAAACTAGGCAGAGCCTGTATTGTGGTGATGGTACATACTTACCATCACGTGCAGACTAAATGTATACATAACTAGCTTTTGCCCGCGGCTCCACCCACGTGTTTTTTTTTATTGAATAGGGGATGTGTAGGCCGCTTATCGCGGTAAAAAGTAGTTTATGTAATTCGCTGATAATGTGGCATTCCCTTGGTGAAAGAATTTTTAAAATAATTTTAGTGGTTTAGGCGTTTACATTTATTATATAAGTATAGTTACAGATAAATTACAATCAGACAGACAAAAATGGTCGTACTCTACACATAATTATTTGCCCTGGGTGGAAATTGAACTCACGACCTCTTTTCTGTATTGTTAACTCTGTAACTTTTCAGGAATCACAACTTGAACTAATACATGTACCTACTACATATGCTTGCGAGCATAGACTCCAAGTACGGCTGGTTGAGCCAAAATTGCTGTTGTATCCACAGAAAGCCTAAAATGGTGGGTATAATTTAATAGGTATTTGATATGTTTTTGAGCCGTTCGTGGTCAAGACGTTGAGTCTTGGGTCTGAGTTACAGAACAAATAATCCTTTTTCTGTGGTCTGAAGTGCTCATTCCGTTTATGGGAATTGGCTAAGCGACACTTGAGTTCGTAAAAAAATAATAAGCATTGATTTTCAATTCATATTGCTGTTCACCGAATGAGTGAGGTTACTGGATGCTCACCCCAAATGGGATTTCCATTTTCCCCCTCCATGCTGAGGGAGAAAATGGAGCGCGGTAAATCGCTTGTATCTTGTGGTATAGGAGCTAGCAACGTTTTCGAGAAAGAATTTTAGGACAGCTGATTTTGTGATATGTTCCTTCTTGCACTTTCGGTTGGAATCTGGGCTATCTGGCTGGCGGTAGCGGTTGCGTTCATTAGTGCGCATCCTACCTGTCCAGGTAATAATCCTGTATTTTAAAAACATTTTAGAAGGCGTAATTTTTAATTTTTTGTTTTTAAATAAGTCTACCTGACATACTTTTTTTATTGCCAGACATTTTTGACAATGCTAACTATGTGCCATACGCGATTTTTGTTATTTTTTTTTATAAAATTTCAAAGTATTTTATAATGTCTGTAATTTTAATATTATGTTATTTAAAGATAAGAAAAACTTAAAATAAATTTGCCAGACATTAATTCGATTGTTAAGTCTTGAATTAAAATTAAAAAGTCATGAAAATATTGCAGTATGATGCTAGTAGTAACAAGACACATTTTCACTAAAAATCAACTTCTTCATATCTCACTACTTTTGAAAATAATGTGCCTGAGCAAGAGTTGAGTAAACATGAGATAAGTATTTTGATGATGATGATGCGACTTAACAATCGAATTAATGTCTGGCAAATTTATTTTAAGTTTTTCTTAGTCGTTACGTGACGAAAATTTGGAGAAATGCTCACTCAAAACATCCAACATCTTTATCTCCAATGGCTTTCGGTTGGACCATTAACGGTGACAAATATGATTTTGTCTGGTTTTTGGGAGATCAATTACCATCCTCAGTTGCAGATATTATTGTTCAAAGTAAGTGTGAAATGGAATATTTATCAATAATAACTAAAATGTTTTATAACGAACTAGAAGAATTACAATGTTTATTTTTTTTCTGTTGCAGATGATAGAGTTTTAGAAGATAACGAAAGTTCCCAAGAAGATGATATGAATGACACTGACAAAGACAGCGACGATGATGATAATATAATAATAATAATAATATAATATAATAATATATTCTACCACATTCACACAACGCCATCTAGTCCCAAACTAAGCAGAGCTTGTATTATGGGTACTAGACAACTGATATAAATACATATATACTTTTTTTTTGTAAATACATACATATTATACATAGAAACACCCAGACCAAATCAAACATCAAATGTTCATGCACACAAATGTTTGACTTGAGCGGGAATCGAACCCGCGACCTTTGGAACAGCAGTCCGTTACACAAACCACTACGCCATCCAGTCGTCGCCAACCATCATGATGATGATTATGAAGATGCCTCTTTTTTTGTGACGTCAATATAGACTGAAACAACTTGAAAAACTTAATATTAATTATTTATAATTTACATTTAGTAATCAGAACAATTTAAATAAAAAGTGTTGTTTTTTAAATTTTAATCTAATTTTATATTCCTTTTTATGCTTAATTTTTTTTTGAAACTTGCTCTGACTAGAATGATGATTATTATTATTCTTATTCTTATTATTATTTTTTTTTTTTTATTATATGCACAGTGAAAAGTAATTTACTTTCGTAATGGTTCTCTGTATCATTCTCGACTTATTCTGCAACTATCTCTCTCGGACTACTAGCATCATACTGCAAAATTTTCATGACTTTTTAATTTTAATTCAAGACTTAACAATCGAATTAATGTCTGGCAAATTTATTTTAAGTTGTTCTTATCTTTAAATAACATAATATTAAAATTATAGACATTATAAAATACTTTGAAATTTTATAAAAAAAAATAACAAAAATCGCGTATGGCACATAGTTAGCATTGTCAAAAATGTCTGGCAATAAAAAAAGTATGTCAGGTAGACTTATTTAAAAACAAAAAATTAAAAATTACGCCTTCTAAAATGCTTTTAAAATACAGGATTATTACCTGGACAGGTAGGATGCGCACTAATGAACGCAACCGCTACCGCCAGCCAGATAGCCCAGATTCTAACCGAAAGTGCAAGAAGGACGACATATCACAAAATCAGCTGTCCTAAAATTCTTACTTTCCAAACGTTGCTAGCTCCCGTACTATTGTTAGATGCGCGTGACAAGGCGGTAGTCTCTTAACATCTGCTGACTTGTTTCCTCATTTTCCCCCTATAACATTAAAAACGTAAACCAAGAATAACTTGTAGTCTGAGTTCTACGATATTAATTACGATGTAAATTAAATTAAATTAAAATTTTTTTTCTTATTGACATACAATTTTTTATTAAAAATAGGTGTTTCTGTCTCATTTGCACAAATTATAATATATAAAATTCGAAGTTGACGCCCTCTATAAATACTTAGTTGCAACATTGTATTTTTTTTCTTCGTCAGTAGATGTCTCTGTTTCTGTTTTACTACAGTTGTTTCTTCTGATAATGTTTCAGACAAATATTTTAGAATATTATTCAAATAGCTTTTTTAGTGTAATAAATCAGTCTATAGGTACGTTAGTGCCCCACACTTATTAAAATCTAATCAAGCACGTCTTGAAAGCTTTTCGGTTATTGGTTACTAGATGTCGCTTTTCTAAAATAGTTGACATTTTATTTTACTTTTTTTGTTTATATATTATTAACCAAACAATTGTACAATGTAAATCTAACTTTTTTAAATTTACATAAATAACAACGCAAACGACCTTATTTTCAAACATTAGTTATTGAATAGTGCAAATCAAATGAGTTATGCTAATGCTAAAAGTGTGCAGACTCAAAACCGGAGACGATTTTTATCGAATCTTTCCATAATAAAGGTCTAATTTACCAGCTGTTTCAATCATCTATCTCAGTCAGACTTGATGAAATTGTTGCAAGCGGAACTCGTTCTGTCTCATAACTTCTTAGTATTTGGATTAATAAAACGACACCCGAGTGAAACTACGGGGCAGAGACTGTCAACCTGTCATTCATTGCTGTCAAAATCTTTCGTGTGAAAACACGTATATAGTTCAATTTTTCGGTCGCTGATCATTGTTTTTGTTTGTGAACAGTGTTTGTAATGATAATACGTCTGTCGTCGCGTACGCTCGTACCTTTGCTCTTTGAAATTCTTACAAAAAAATATGTTGTGCAACACACCCGGTGAACATTTTGAGCTCGTTATGAAATAGTGAAGCATTGCCTGCCTTTATGGGATTTGCAAATTGTGTTTTGTAGCAAGGTCGTGACTGTTTAAAATAAAAAAACTTGGCAATATAGTGAACTGATGCGTACTCCCATCATTTCTCGTACATTTGCGTATTTTAAATTAATATTGTGACAGTGTGGGGTACATTAACGATAATGGGGTCTACAGCGATTACGCTGGCAGATTTGCCAAATATTTTTATTATGATTGGTGCCTTGGTGGCGCTTTTTGTTATGTTAGTGATCTTGCTAAGGTAAGTTTACTTTTTCAGATAAGAAATAATATATAGAAGATAAGGAAACATGCACATTAATTTAATCTACGTTATCATACAGAAAGTGCTAGATTATATCCTGTTGTCAAATTTATAATGTCACATACACTTGCACTCTCAACTTATTAGTTTTTGCAGTGTCTATTACCAGGCTGAATAAACAGGTTACCTTGGTTAATTACATTTTTTTTTAAAAGTTAGATAACTTGATAGTTGTCATACAAAATAAAAAAGAAAGTGACATTTTAAAACCATTTGTACACTTTCTACATAATTTATTTTCATCTGTCATTCTATAAATTTATTGGAAGTATTAATAAAATATTGATCATTTAATATAATATGAACATTTTTATTTTATTTAATAAAATCAATAAGTTTCTACTGAAGATTTTCTTTACACAGGGTAGTTTATGACAGTATTACCTAAACATAGAAAACTGCACACTATGTTTTTATTAATGTATGAAAAAAAAGTGTCTTTTTCACAATGATTACATTTAATCAATTAACTTATGTAAATAAATATAGAATTGCTTATTTAGTTCTTGATTATTCATAAATTTATTGATAATATTAGATAAATATTGTCAAATACTTATGGCATTCAAATAAGTACTACACATAATTGTTTTTCACATTTCCACTACTAGACATTGTTCCTTAGACCCAGCTCCAATGAACCAGAAGCAGGAAATTGAAAGTAAAACATAAAGTTAATCTTAAATATTTCCATTCAGAAAAAGTGATCTAATTAACTCAGAAATAATCCTCTAGGTGGGGTTGGAGATTATCTTTGATACAGTTATTTGTTAGCTATAAATTTCATTGTTGTCTATGACTCATTAAACTCAATTTATCTCATTTACTCTTCAAAAGCCTTTCTTTCTGTTTGTTTTGTTATATTAAACACTTAGATTTATTACAAACATCACCTAATAGTAAACTTAGATATTAATATTTTTTTGTAAATTGATGATTTTTTAATTTCTCATTTGGTAATAAAACGGTTTTGACATGCTCTCTTATATATTTTAAAAAACGTATTTTTAAATTTACATAACAGTAAATATTTTTTTTTTATATTTAAAATATATTTGAAATTTGATCATAAAATATATGATTTGAATTTTTGTAAACAATATTAAACCTAATAATGTTAAATGTGAATAATAAATGATTTTAACCACTTAATTAATGTGGTTTATTCAGGGTTATTTATAAAGTATTCATATAAAGTGTTAAATCAATAATTTTTCAATAATACAAGCCGCTGATATACCGCTTCACCCACCAAACTGTTGTGATGATGACTCTTGAGAATTTTCACACAACACAAAAAAAGACATTAACTTATGTTAAATTCAACAAACAATAGAATAATAATATTCAATTCAATAATAACATTCAATTCAATTTGTTTTTTAAAGTTTAAAATGAAACATACTCTTTTTAACAATTCATATGTTGTATTGTGTGTAAATCAACTGAGGTATGAATAGAGAATATTCATGATTGTCTAAGATAATTTTTGACAAGGATGTCATGGCATGTTAGCACTATGAGAGAGGCTTGTCTAATAATCCTCACTGCTAAGTCAGACGTTGTGGGTTTTTATTCCCACCCAGGACAAATATTGTGTGATAAGAACAATCATTTGTTCTATATCTTGGTACAATTGATTTATTCCTTCTTGCCTGCTATTGTTGCCAGCTTTGAATTATTATATGAGTGGGACTAAAATTATATTTTGCCAAATGTTTACAACACCTGTCTACCACTTAGAGTTTGAACACATGAGTGAATGTACCTATGTACATATGTGTATTTTATCATATTATTTAGTGATTAGTAATAATTACAAATTTGATTGTAATATAAATTTAATTTATTTGAATTGGATTAGATAAAGTGTACAGATAAGAGTGTTGTAACATTTCTTGGTTGCAACAGTTATCATAATACTAATTACTGAAATTTTTAATTTTATTTAATTACTGAATAGGAATTTTAATAACATGAGATAGTTTTTATCACTCGATTATTTGTCTTTTTTTTCCGTTCGGAACTCCTCTCGGATACCACCAATAACCGCAAGCCGTCTCCAGGTACCAGTAGCCGGGGAACCAGGTATACTTTGGAAAGGAAAGCCCTGGTACCCCGACGTATCTCGGGCCATCTTATAGATAAATCCCTCCTGCGTGGGCAGTCCGACGTATCTCGGGCCATCTTATAGAAAACTCCCTCCTGCGTGGGCACCCCGATGTTCCCTCCCTGCCTCCGAAGGGCGTGCGCGCTCCGTAGCGCATCGCGTCGCCACGCTAGAGTGACAGATGACCTCACCCCCATGCCTGCGCTTATGAGAGACGGAGGTCGTTCCGCAACCTCCGGCGCCTGAGTCGTCTGCGATACCTGGCCAGTTCCCGGGCGTGCCGGGCCGAGAGAGTTCTGAACCTCTCCCGGTCTCACTACGCCATCTCCTTCGCTAGAATAACCTGCTCGCATCATTGCCCCTATAGGAAGTAAAATAATGATGAGTATTGGGCCTGCTCTTGTCTGAAGTCATCAAAGTCCGTTGGTAAAACAAAGCGAGAACACACTAGTTATCGCTTCTTATCATTACCGTATGCAACAATTCTGTGATGATGATGTATTGCTGTTTGACTCATGTATGTTTAGATGAAATTGTTTTATAGTTTAAGAACTATTTTGTATTTTTTCGTATTGCACGTTGCCAGATACAGCAAAGGACATTGGTATCTTTCAAGAAACCAGAAAGAAAATGCTACTGACCGATGGATGATAAAAATAGTATGACGCGGTTGAAGTTGCAGCTTACTTCTAGCTAGTTCGTTTTATAACCACGTATCGACGTTGTTCACATTCAGAAATTGAGTTAGAGAATTAAATATTCATTGTCTATGAATATTTTTCCTTAAAAATTATCTTTTTCTAATATTTTAGTTGGGTCTTCTGACTCAATTTCTTATTCAACTTTTTCAGTTTTCAGATACAGATTGCCTTATGGGCCTTTCTGTACTCTTTTCTTTTGACTTATGTTCCTATATTATAAGGGCAAATATAGGTTTATACCCACGATAAACGAATTTCGAGGCCTGTAATGACACTATTGTTTATTATTTAGTTTTACTTCCAGACTGGTTTAAACAGTATCAGTCGTTACACCCTAATAGTAAAATAACAGCTAAGGAAAGTTTCGAGACATAATTTAGTTGATTTGAAGTCGGTTCTACTTCAACGATTGGTTGGTTACAATTTCATATATCATTATTGTAGTCATTTTTACAGTTCTTTGAGTTGGAAAACGATATACAAAATCGATCTGCAATGGAAGAGGCCTATGTCCAGCAGTGGGCTGATGATGATGCTGATATAAAGTAAGTTCACAAATATAGTTTGCCCAAATACTTGCAATTATGGACATATACGGAAATGGCATAAAAAAGTTTTCTTGATATTTCACGATCATTATACATGGGCTATTTAACCACCGTACTGGTAGCTGGTACCCAAGATGTCGTCATGCCCCATTTATTTAAACTTGTTTACAATGTGAGATCAAATCAGTCAGACAGTCAGGTCTATGATTGATGGTGACATTCGACCCGAGAATGTTATTATGCAGTAATCGTCCAATTTTAATATTATCTTCTATCTGTCGAGTCTTGAAACTACAGATATTACTGTAATTACGACAATTGGTGGTGGACCTGTATTTTATAAACATAAATGAATAATTTTATACCCATTTATGTTCTGCGCATGGAGAAATACTTCGAAGTAGAACTTACAGACTAGTGGTTTATTGCTTCGTATGACAACGGTTTATAACGGTATTATTTGAGTATAGCAATTGGTTTCAAATATCACGATTTCTTGTGTACTTTAGTGATGATATTTTCATATAGCTAAGCATTCTTTTCATTTCTTAAATCAGGTTTTCATTATTAACAAACAATCTTTGTGCAAACTACATATTATAATAGGTCTTTACCTATGAAATTGCCGTTTTGTATGCAATAAGTGAAAGTACTTATTTTTTCAAACTTTTTTATTTCTTTTATTCGAAGTAATCACCCATGCAATCGACGCATCTTTGCCAACGCATTGGTAGTTTATTGATGCCCTTGTTGTAAAAATCAGCTGGACGGGAGGCAACAAACTCTTCAAAGGCATTTTGTACTGCCTCTCGGGAATTGAATTTTTTACCCACTAAAAAGTTGTCTAAATTTTGGAAAAAGTAATAGTCATAAAAAGATATGTTTTCAATGAAGACTCTCGGCTATATTATGTCCACAAACATCAATTCAGCTGGTTGCAGATGTGACCACCAGACCTTGCACCTACCGACTATTACTTTTTCCAAAATTTAGACAACTTTTTAGTGGGTAAAAATAAGTACTTTCACTTATTGCATACAAAACGGCAATTTCATAGGTAAAGACCTAATATACATGAACATTTTTTTTAACAATTATTCAAGTCATGAATTAAAAAAAAAAAACAATAAAGAATTTAATATTTATTAGATGAAGCCGTTTTTACTTTCATTGCAATCTTTACACCCAGCGTCACCCACCTTTACATTCTCTAAATGTGAATAATTAAAATCGCATTGTACACTAAAAACAGAATTTTTAGTAACCCAAAGATTAGTAGATTATCTTTGAAGTTACTAATTGCATTAGACATTGCATGGAGGAAAATTATTGTTAAATAATGTTTGTAACGGCTACCGACGCACTCAGCAAAGATAAGCTTCCACGAATTGTCATTATTATGTTAGGGAAGGTAGTTAAATGAAAAAGGAAAAAACATGCAGCAGGTTTTATTTCATAATATAAGGGGGCAAACGAGCAGACGGGTCATCTGATGGTAAGCAAGTACCGCCGCCCATGGACACCTGCAACTCAAAAGTCACAAGTGCGTTGCTGCCCTTGGAGTCCCAATCCCCCTCC